AATACTGAGAGCCAATGAAGTGTGAGACCCAGATCTTATCACAAACGAGGAGCAGAAACTGCCCGTCTGGACTTCCACATGTAATTTCCACACCTTTCATCGTAGCAGAGTCCACCGCTGAAAAGCCCCGCTGCTTCCAGGCTGTGTAACCTTTGAGTTTCTTCATTTCTATAGATGAGGGCCACATGAAACTGACTGATAAAACAAGAAAAAAAGTGAAGAAAAGAAGAGAGAGATGATAAAAATGAGCAGTTTCTTCTGTTTCCATGGTGATTAACGTTTTTCTCATCGTGCTGCTTCCCACCGTCTTTATTAATGTGTGTGATTAGAGACGCACACACACGCTTTATGGTCTCACTTTACCTTGAGGTAAACATGTTTAATGTACTCAGCTCTCAGCAGCACTTTGGAGTCGAGGTGTAAAATGTCCTGTTTTCACCAGATAAACTAAAAGCAAAGTTTGAGCTCAGTCTCATTAAAGACAAACACTTCCTGTCTGAGAAAAGTGAATCTTCCAGGATGTTCTGCTCAATAACAGACAAATGGCTGATTGTGTGTGCACTATCATTAATACAACATCAAATGGTTTTTTCCTTCTCATTTTGGCAACAGATGTCACCTAATAATTACATTACACCAAATCAAAGAGTCGGGGGTCTCTGCAGTCACTAAGTGGGAGTTTCTTGGTGTGGGAAGAGTTTGTTAAAGATGTAATTGACCTAAGTGACTGTTTTGGGAGGTGTTTGAAGAACTTGGGTGGGGGAAACTGGGTGTTGCTCGCTCGAAACAGGCAGGAAGTGCCTATGTTTTCAAATATAAATACAAATATTAGTCATAACTCGAGACTGGAAGATGCTAGCCACACCAAATTTGAAGTTGATAAATAATTTTTACATGTTCACAATAATTTTTGAGACATTGTTCTGTTTTAAATTACAAATACTCAACAAACTATATTTATGTTTGCAATAACTTTATCTTTGCTACTTCTTTTTTACTGGCCCCATAAAACTAGTCAATCCGACCAATCACAGTTTTGCTTAACTCCGCCCACACCCATGAACTCCACCAATCACGGTTAGGATAAACAAAGGGTAAACACAGCTAAGAAACGTTCCTGTTTTGACAAACTCCACCCACGCCAAAGAACTCCACCAATCACAGGACAAACTTCGCCCACACACATAAAAACTCCCCCGTTTATCCTAACTCTGCCCACACTAAAGAACTCCACCAATCACGGTTAGGACAAACTCCACACACGCACATAAAAACTCCCCGTGTACTAAAGTGACCCCAAGGTACTGTTGATAATTTTTAGGGCAAAATATTTTAGGGTTCTGCCCTCAAAACATTTTCATTACATCAGCAGAATCTCAATTTATGTTGGCTTTTCAAGCATGACCAGTACAGCAATCACCTCTTTGTCCTTATAGTCTATTAAATAAATGATTCGACAGAAATGGGACGGATCAGAGGAGGAGATGAACAGCTCGTGGTTGGATCATTCCTTCTGTTTTGTTAGAAATCCCCAAGGGTGACGAGTGGAGCTCCTCCTTCCTGTCCCTGAAGTTCCCCTCTCTTAGATTACCTCTTGTTTTCTCATGCAGCCTCGCACAATTCCCTCTTGTTTGCACACGGTATCATGTGTCAAAACAATGATCCAAATTTGCAGGGATTGTGAGATAAGGTGCACAGAAAATAACTGGAAATATTATGCATACAGTCCTAGAAAGTCAGTCAAAATCAAGATGAGGATAATGAGCAGCTTAAGAAGATGTTTGAAATCATCTTTTGAACCCGAAATCCATTATTGTGGATCTTATTTAACAAATAGCTGTTCAAAAGTTCACCTTTTTTCTGAAAATGAGGAGACTCATGCATTAACAGCCCAGAAACCCAGCACTGGTGCACGGTAGCCCCATTTACAGCCACTCAGCCTGTAGGGGGATTTCAAATATAGCCTCTCTGCCTAATTCCTCCGTCCATGCAGAGTCCCTTTTTTGGGCTTTGAAAGAAATGAGGAAATTGAAAACGAATCCAATCCAACCGACATAAAAGGAAAAGAACAAACATGGTGGAGGCGGTGACTGACTGCTGAGCGTTTCTGACTCAACATGCTTGACGATAAGCACCAGCTGTGTGGCGTGGCGTGCATGTGGCCACTCCGGGTGTTTTACGTGTGCAGGATCCTCTTAGGTTAGGAAAAAATGTAAAAATTAAATTTACAAAATTAGAAGTCTTTAAGGTTTGTTATTTGATTAATTACTTAATTAATTATTAATCAATTAATTGGGTCAAATTATTTACAGCATGCTTTTCTGGAGTATACAACTGAATCCACTCCAAATTTCCTGGCTTGCTGTACTGATTTTAGTGCAAAATAAAGGGATATTCATTGGCTTATGGTTTGTAGACAGAGTTCCATACATCATGCACAGTTTATTTTCATTTTATGGGAGAAGAAATGAAAATTTTTCCTTTAGAGGAATGTTTTTTCCCAACTTGCATCATTTGAGTTAGAATGTAGTTATTATAAAATAAACAGGTAACAGATTATTGCAGACAAACAGACTGCTGTTCCTCTGAGTGTGTTGTTTTTGCACAGCCTCAAACTGGCTTCTCTCATTTAATGAATATTGAACATATGGTGGCTTATCCTAATGTGGTGTTGATGTGCGGCAGCATGGCTGTGTTTATCTTCTTAATAAAACCAATACATTTACAGATCAATGTGTCATTTCTCACTGCTTACCTGCGTCTTTCCTCCTATTTCACCTCAATCTAGTGTGTTTATCCATCTGTAGCTCTTTCTTTGCTCTATAAAATCTGATTTATATAACAAGCCTGTAAGTAAGGACAAACAGAAGGTGGAGGATGTTATGTTTTTATTTGAAACAAATAAAACATGGATGGAATTGAGGAGGTAAACGGAAACAAGTAAAACAGGAAATAGATGAGCTGTCGGGGCATTTTGAATGGCACAGCAGTTTCTACCCAAGAGAATAAAGCCTTTGAGTCACAGTTACCATGACTCAGATGAGGAGAAATTATTTTTGTGATTGTATCTGACATGTCATTTTTTTCTACTTGCTCCATTTTGATTTTGTAAATGGGCTAAACGGTCAACGAATTTAACATAATTGAACAAAATGTGCCAGTACAAGGTTATTATCAGGTTATTCAATTTTGATTAACAGGAACCATGCAAAAAAAGTTTCCATGAACTGTAACCTAACCTGAAGTGAAATAGAATTAAAATAGTTACTAGGCGTCCCTCAGGAATGTGTACTCGGTCCTTTGGTGTTTATCAGGATGACATATGACAAAAACCTGCATAAACCAGCTCATTAAACTTGAGATAAAGATAACAAAACATTAGTGGCACATCAATATGTAGGAATTACTTAATGAAATCAGGACCAGCCTATTTTCATAAATGTAATCCAGCAAGACCTTGCAAGAAATGAAATCAGAAATAATGAAACACCCCTCTGATCATGAATGAGAAAAGAACTTGTGACCTGAACAGATCTCTCAAAATAAAGTAATTTATTTTTAGATATATGAACAGAATAAACATACAAATATTAATAAAAATATTATATGAATAAAAACACAAGTTATAATAATGGCATAAAATTCCTCTCAGAGTTGACATAAAACAGTAAATTTCAGGTGTAATAATACAACTGGCACACTGCTTACTAAGTTTTAAGTAAATAAGAGAAAAAGATAAAAGTTTAAGTTTTAAGAAATAGGAGGAAAAGAGAATTAGTAGTTTGGCACTGTTCTTTAAATCAGGACCAAAACCAGCACACAGCTGTCAACTCCAGACATTTCCGGGCTAGACCTCTTCGACGTAGATCTCATTAAACACTTTTCTACCTTTTGAAGTCTTCAAACAGAGAGACTGCAGGTAGGGTTTGTTCTTGAGAGAGTCGGCATTCTGGTCCGCCAGGTGGATAATGTCTCTTTGACAGCTCTCAGGGAGATGCCTCTCCCCTCTCCAGTTTGAGCCTCCAGGCTCCAGGCTGGCCGTCTCAGCAGACAGTGCTTCTTGGGCAGTTAGTCATCCAGACTCCAGGCAGGTGCCTGTCCAGGCACACTCAGGGACCCAACAGAACCATCCACTCAGGCCAACAGACGAAGAACAACTCGTTGTTAGCGGTGTGAGCAGAAAGTTAGTTTTAGAAGGAAAGGTGAGAAACAAAACAATGTGCCTTTCTCACGGGCGGCCAGCTGCGCACTTATCAGTAAAAAAACCTTGAGGCTGCAACAGCAGACTTCACCTCAGCTAAGAAATCACCACACTTTGCACAAATGGATTAATAATGAAATTAATAGTACACAATATTAATCATTAAATCAATTAAGAAAATGATAAAACCATGACTAATAATAGTACTAAGAAAAAGCAAAATAAAACACATTTCACTCATTTTCTTTTCACTGTTACACTCTAAAATAAAGAGAGATATGCAAAGATTAAATCAATAAAACTTTGATTATATTGATTATAACTCAAATAGAAGATTAAATGAGATAATATATAGAACCTGTTGTTCTATTCACTTAAAGAAAATAAAAACACTTTAAAATGATTTTCTTCTTATAAGTGTAAAAAAATTAAAATCAAAGACCAAGAAAAAACAATAGAAAAGTTTTTTTTCACCAGGGTTACCTCTACATATATATACACATTTTTTGCTTATGTGCATTTAAGGTCTTGCAAAAGTTCTGTGCCGTTGTAGTGGAGAGTCAGTTTCAACACAAGATATTTTAATTATTTGAAAATGCAAAGAAATTTAACTGTTCAAGATCAGAAAGCTTAAGTGTTCTCAATGATCTCCTATTAAACGTTTCCATTTATGCATCTGGGGAAAGACAAACATTCATTCACACACTGTAATAAAAAGTAGATGAGTAGCTCAAATGGACAAACGTTGGGTGGAAAAAGTTTCAAGAAAGGGTTAAGAGAGGACGAGGTTAATGTGAAAACAAGGCAGGACAAATTGACCAGACTGTCTTCCCTCACTGTAGCTACAGCTGACGGGGTTGAACTTTGTTCTTTCTCTAGCAGAAGAGGCAGTCGGTAGGTTGATAAGTCACCCCTTACACTTCAACACAGAGAGAACAGGGAGAGGGAGGAGAAGGGATGAACCAGAAGGAAAAGAAGCAGCGGTGCAACAAGAATAAAAAGAAATTTTAGGATTTTCCTGGATTAGTGCAACCAATTCCGCCAATTTGTATTGAGGACGCCCTGCAGCTGCTGGTATGTGGATGGAAACCAAAATAGAGACGAAGGAGGCCAGCAGGAGTTGTGCCAGCTTCAGTCGGCGTGTGTTGGACGGTGTGACGTTGTGCACCGGAGACATGGAGCACTTGGATAAATATATGCAGGGTAGGAAAATTCTGAAACAAACAAAAATAAAAGGATTGTTGTTGAAGTAAAATGGTTCCTAAAGTTTTCTCTAAATAAGATGATAGATAAAACAAAAGTGTAAAAGTTATGATCCTTAATAACTCAAGGATGCTTACCTTGCTGTTAAATATGTCGATGTAATGGTAACACAACTCCCACAGGGAACCGGGCTGCTCTCCTCCTCCAGCACAAAACATCATTAAATCATCATTAAAATACCATCTCCATTCTTTTAGAAAAACGCCTGAACCGGCAGCCAGATAATCCAACTGAGAAATATGTTCAGTGCGCTAAATTGCCTTTTTACAACATCTGTGATTATTTGGCTGTTTTCATTCCGTTTCCACAGACAAGTCATTTGTGCCGCAGCTGCTGGTGTGGGGGCTGAGAGGGGTAACCAGGGTGATTCTGGCCAACAACCCGCTGAGCGGTGCTCTCATCTTGGCCGCCCTGTACTGGGCTTCCCCCTGGCAAGGCCTGCTGGGGGCTCTGGGTGTACTGGCCTCGACGCTCACAGCTGTCATCATGGGACAGGACAGGTGAGGTGATGAATTTACACCAAAACACTCAAATGTGCACCAAACAGGAAAGAGGTGATTATAGCGCATGTTTACACACTATGATTTGCACATCTTTTTTAGAACCTCCGTCACCCGTGAGCCATATTCTGTTATTGTAAGGCAGGGCTACTCAACTGGTGGCCCATGGGCCACATCCAGCCTGCAGTCCGGCCCAGCAGTTGGTTCATTAATCACTTAAATATCCAGTTTTCTACGTTAAAGAGGCAATACTATGTGTTTCTCAGGCATACATTTAAATACTATACAATAATAAAGTATCTATGTCACCTTTAGTTGTTATTAAAATGCTGTTATGTTTAAAAAGAAAATAAACTTATCTTCTCACCACTTCCTCTTCTAAACATCTTGAAATTGGCCTCTGTCTCTTTAAGAACCACCTTCTGCTTCTGTCCCGCCCGTTTCAGCACGCGCGAGGGTGGGGGGTGGGGGGTGCGCTATGATGCAGTTTACTTGGCATCTGAAAATACATTTCCTCAAAGGTATTTTAAATCTGAAAAGAGCTTCACTGAGTGAGAAGTAGTGTTAGGAGCTCAGCAGACAGTTTCAGTTTCACTTTCAGTTTCACCCGTTGTTTGAGAGGCTGCAGGAGTCATGGGCGGGGTGTGTGTGGTGGGGGGTGGGGAGGTGCGCTCCGAGACGAGGACGTTCGGCTTGGAGACACAGCCCAGAGGCGGAGATGGTCCCAAAAGGCGGTTCTAGTCCCAACCTGTCATTTTTGCTCCCCTGCCTGGCTACCTCAGGACACGACAGGATTTCTCAAACATGCATGAATGAGTCAAAGTAAGGCTTTGGGCATGTTTTGATGAGAGGACATTATAACGGTATAAAACTGAAAAAAGTTGATTTTACATGATATAGCCCCTTTAATTACTTTAAGTTCCTTTAGGTGGACATAGATGTGTGGTATCTACAGAAATGCCAGAATCTTGGCTAAAGCTGGTAAAAATTGGCTGGCAAAAATGTTTTTAAAAATTTGGCAAGTGTTTTTGATCTAGTTTTAATCGCACTACTTTTATTACATTGGGATCTGTGTGTTGTATTCATGAATAAATGCAACAACATAAATACATTCAAAGGTAGCAAATCTGTGTAATACTTTATTTACATAATGTATTTAACTGCTGGATGTTCGGCCGCTGAGCTGTTGGCCCCCAGAGCAATTTATTTGAATAGCCCTGTTGTGAGGGTTTAAATAAAACAGCAGCCTAACAGAGGTGTGTGATGTTTTCTTAAGTTTGGCGCTCTGTATAAATTAACCTTCCCCTTTTGAGCTGCTGCTCATTAAAATGAAACGGTGTCTTTCATGAAGATCCAAAAAGAGTAACAATTATGCATGTTTTGATCCTAATTTTTAATAATGATTAAAGGCGACAATAAAAGCAAACATGTTTGTTTTGTAGCGCTGATGTTGCAGGAGGTCTTCACGGGTTTAACGGCGTGTTGGTGGCCCTGCTGATGGGGGTGTTCAGCTCAGCAGGAGACTGGTACTGGTGGTTGCTGCTGCCTGTCTGCTTGGGCTCAGCTACATGGTAAGAATGTCAAAAACACAAGTGCTGCTCATTCTGTAGCTCGACAATGAGTAAAAGTAAAGTAAATTAAAAAATAAGAATGTTAGTGATAAATCAACAGGAAAGCATAAATCTTTATAGCTATGGTCTTTGAAACTGTCTTCTTGTCTTCTTGTAGAAAATTACCAGATGTAAAGTTTGTTCATGTGTTGAAAACACAAATTGTTTTGATTATAAATCAACACAAACCAAATAGTGATACAAACATTGTTTTCTCATCACATAAAATATTAATGCAGTCATTTTTACATGGTCATTGTTGTGTTCATGAATAAAAAATGGCCTTCCTTGAAGGAATGCATGTTCCCTGCCCCCTTTCATGATTTAAACATCAACATTTGGCTCCGTAGCTGAAGAAATATGGCATTAGAGTAGTGTTTGTGTTTACTATGGTAAACTAGCTGCATTTTGTACCAGGTTAACCAAATGTTCCTAATAGACCATTTCATAGTTGTGCGTAGCAAAGCCTAGCTTTCCTGGGTTAACTGGATAAAAGCTGAGGTATGAAAACTCTATTGGAATTACGCAAATTCAATAAGCTGAAAAAGCACGCCTGAATATTTATTTTAAAAAATCACATATATTATCCTAAAGGAAAGTTTAACACAAATTACTATAAATGCACTAAAAATTCACGTTAAACATTGTGTAAACATAGAAAAACATCTTCCATTGTTTATTTCGTAAGCAAGGTTTTAAACAAAGTGTCTGAATCAAAAGCTATTTGCTCGTCAGTTAGCTGTACATTCATCATTTTGACCTAGCATCAACTCTTCTCTTTATACTTCCTTAACCTCAGATCTTAAGACTCTTTTTGCCCATTTTTGTTGAACAAACGTTAACTTGTGCTTCTCAGATCATGTGATGCTTTGGAATCCACTGAACTGTGTCCCAGTGTGCGTCACATGAAAAATACATACATTCTTTAGTAACCTACTTCATCTGAAATAAAACATTTCTGTCCTCCAGTGTTTTTCTGTCCAGCGGACTCTCTGCATTTCTGGACCACTGGGACCTGCCGGCTTCTGTGTTTCCCTTCAACATCGTTTTTATCCTTTACCTCCTTTGTACCGGAACAGACAACCCATATTTTCCACACCACCCAGCTGTACCTCTGGGAGCTTTAGACCACAACGACACCACGCTTGTTGCGGTACAGGTGGGGACTTTGCCAAAACAAAACATGGTCGAATTAATGAACCATTGTGTCCTTGTGTGTAAATCCAAACAGCTACTCTATATAAACCAAAACCCTTATAAATTGGTCTTATATCATGACAGTATAAGTAGAAATGTTCTCACGTTTAACAAAAGTTCAAAGAAAACTGAGCTCTCAGTCATTCTGCGTGGTAAAAAGTAATTACTGACATGGTTTTTCACAGCTGGAACCTTGACATGATGAATAAAAATCGTGTATAAAACTGAAAGCTTCTGTCGGATGAAAAGGTTAAAGCCAGGTGGTGAGTGACCTTTCAGTCAAACAAAGAAAGAAACATTTCCAGCCACAGTAATACAAAATAAAACCCATAAATCAAGAAGCTAAGCTGAAAGCCAAAGTATGGCCGCCATGATTCATGAAGAACCTGCATTAATCAGCTGGTCTGACTCACTTGTTTTTAAGCAACAGTCACTGCTGGAGCTCTTTTATAAAAAATTATGTTTTGCACTATTTCTTCATCTAAATTACATGTATTGTGGTGATTGGTCCCAGGCAGGTTAGTTCATAAGAATAGAGAAAGATCCTGAACATTATTACTGTAGGACCCCCATAGTTACTGCAGAAACAACTTTCTAAATGTTGTGCAATCAAATATTTTGTATTCACTCCGAGTCTCTGTTTTCAAGGGAATAATTCTGACTAAATGTTCCTGATCTGCAAACACAGTTGACACAAAAGCTTTTACATAAAACTGACAAAACATATTAGTTTGACTCATCAGTTTTTACAGCAGGAGCATCAAACTCATTTTCACTGAGGGCCACATGAGCCTTATGGTGGCCCTCAAAAGGTCAGATGTAATTAACGACATTTTGTTTGACTTTGACAGAAATATAATTTTACTCATCTCATTGCTACAGCTGAACACCAATAAAAAACAATAACTGAGCTCTACCTGGTATTTCCTGCCTAGAAACAGTGTTTTAACACGTCCTCTTAGAAACACTGACTAAATGTGAAATAAATAAAATAGAAAAACAATTAAAAGTAAGAGTTTTACTCACTGTTGAGTTGTGGTGAGTAGCTGCCATCTTGAATTCTGAACTCTCCCACTTTCCTACAGGAATTCCCACTGGAGGGGTGATCCAGTTAAAATTTAACTTGTAAAGGCCATGTGACACTTGACACATTTAAAATATATGTACTGGACGCCTCTTTTGGACGTATACATACAGTAATGCTAACAATTAGAACAAACATACTCGATATGAGTAAATTAGTCTTGACAAAATTTTCATAAGTTCATACATGTCAATCTCTCCAGATATTTACTCATATAATGAGCCTCAAAAATCCCTAATTTTTGCAAAAAAAAATCTGCATTAATTACACACACCCAAGGGGTGGGGGGCAGGCGGAGTGTTGGCTGCGGAGATGACAGCGCCTGCAGCAGAGCAGGAGGAAATGAGGACAGGGAATGTTTTTTAGCAGCAGAGTGGGTTGGAAGATGGTTATTTGATGTTATTTATTGTTTTTTAATTTTCTTCACAGGCTCTGACATGTAAAATAAATTTGAAATGAAGTTTTGGAAAAAAATCATGAAAAAAATTCTCGAGATTGCTCGAAACTTCCGTAAACCTGCACAATGACGGGAAAAGTGGCCACAGAAAAAAATTCCCACTTCCCAGTATAACCGTGGAAATACAGCTAAATAGAGATTTTGCCGTCAGCTATTTTTGAACCCTGCACAGCTCCACCTAGTGGCAAGATGTTATTTTGCTGGTAAAATAATCAATGATGCAGTGAGATGTGAGATGTAGTCTATAGCTTATTTTAAGACATTAATACATCTTTGAAGTTCTTGTGGGCCACATAAAATGCAGTGGCAGGCCACATTTGGCCCACAGGCCTTGAGTTTGACACAAAGGATGATTTACAAACTGTGGCATTAGATTAATCATCCCGACACAAAATCCTCAGCGAGTTATTTACATATGATCTTAAAGAGCATCACACCCTGCAGCAGCGGGTTCCTGAAACAAAGTTACTTTCAGCAAGTCTATTTCATTTCTTTGTTTGTTTATTATAAATTCATCAAATTCATTTCATCTTTTAGTCCCTTTTCCTCTTCATTCATCATAATCTGCATGTTTATTTCCCTTAATCTGCCTCTGATTTTATAAATGTTGCTCTTCAAGTTCATTTGTTCTGCTTCTTAGAAGAAATGAAGCCTCTAAATCCTTCTTCTTGTCTCCCCGACTGCCTCCTCCCTCGGCTTTATCTCTTTTTTTCCACCCTCATGTTTCTGGATTTTTCATTCTCCTTTTTAAATCTCCATCATCTTTTTAGTTTACAACTCTTTGAACAGATTCCAAAGCTGTGCAGACTCAAAGATGACAGTTTTCCAGCTCCAAGCCCCTGGTTCCCTCCTGAGATGGGATGACGTCGGTCCTATTTATATTTGATGTCCTCAGCTTCGCTCACTCTGCTCTGGTTGGAGCTCCAGCTGCTCTGACAGCGCAGTTAATATCACACAAACGCACACATGCATGCAAACACGTGCACACGTTGAGGTGTAAGGAGCAGACAGGCAGATGTATAATTAAAGGACATTTGTGACTTGTAAATATCAGCGACGGGCAGGTCCTCCTGTCGTGTCGCCATGGAAACTCACGGCCTCTGAACGACTGTTGGGGAACATTTGTATGAGTGCATCAGCAGGAAGAAAATCTGATTTAAACTGAAGTAAATGTGCATTTTGATATTATGTTTCTCTCTGCTCTTGGAGTTTAATCCATGCAAATAAACTTGCATGCAAAGTTTTTATTTAGTTTCACTTAGTAAAACAAATCCTCATCTCTGCCCAGGTGATCCATGGCATCCCCCTCGGTGTGGGTCAGATCTATGCCTGTGGAGACCTCGGACCCTCCCTCCTCATCCTGGGAGCCGTAGTGTTGTACTCCCCACTGCTGGCCGTCCACGCCGTCCTGGGATCAGCGGTCGGGACATTAACTGGTCAGTTTCAGATGTGTTTGTGGCAGGAGTGGGAGAAAATAGGCCACTTTATTGTATGTTTTATAGCTACCTCGACATAAAATGATTCCCTCAACGAAGCAACAAAGCTTGTTATTATTTTATTGGATTCGTCACGGCTCTATAAAACTGACCTCAGTTCGGTGTTTTTTGGATCAAGGTTCTGTCATGTAAAACACTTCATTATATATGAAACCATCTTTTTGCCACATGGTCAGACCAGCTGCTGATTTATAAACACTCAGAAAGAGAAGCTCACTGTTGAAGCCATGTCCTAGAACTGTTTTGTGAAGGAGATCATGATAACTTTTATAACAGACTGACGGACAGGGGCAGTGCTTGGATTTGTTGTGGTTTGGGGTCCGTGTTCTTCTTGGTCATTCAATTTTCCTTTTGAAAACAGAATCTGAAAAACAGAATCTGAAAAACAGATGGTTATTTTACTTTCATTTTATTCTCCAAAAACATGGGAAAAAATGCTCCATTGTTTCATTTTTCTCAAACCAGGAGCTTAAAGGGATCCCCGATTAGTTGTAACATTAACATTCTGGGTAAATGATGATGTGGATAGGTCCTCTGTGTGAGCGAGCTATGTCCACCCTGAAGGTTAATCTTGGACAATATCTGATGATCGACTCTTTTAAATGAAACCAGAGAGCGTTGACAGAGAGGAGAAGGTAGAAATGACTCAGCCTGGAACTGAAAATATGGATGGAGGACAACAGAGCTGCTTCATGGAAGAAGAACCTCAGCGTAGCCTGTTAGCCTTTGTGCTAGCGCCGACGCTATGGCTGTGTCCAAAACAACAGGCCGGGTCCTTGGTAGACTGGGAAGACGGGAAAAAAATAGGCTGTGAATTTGGACGGTCTAGCCTCCCCTCTTTACCCCGGTGTAGTCATGTCACCTAGCAACTGTGACGACGCTAAACAGAAGCAAACTTAAATCAAAATTAGAAAAATATCAATACATTAGCATTATTAATATCACAAAACTATAAAATTAACTTAAAGGTATCATTTGAAGAACTAACTGACCCGCTGTATATCCAAGTTTATTTCGCGTTTTTATGACAAAAATAATATTTAAAACATGTCCATACAAATGATAAAAGTATTAGAATTACAACCGCTAATTTTTTAAAATTTTTATATCACCATATTTTTATTTAAAACATATTCTTTTCTCTCGCTTTGTCCGCCATTACTAGCATAAAAAATCTCCAGTCGGGCCGCAATGCATTATGGGATATGCTGGGCCAGGAAGGATCCATCGGACCAGTCCTTCGATTCGGGCCAAAGGAAGGACGTATTTGTCGGCCACATCGGAGGAGTCTTCAGTTTTGGATGGCCTTTGTCGCGGCGCTGTGACGTATGCAGCCGACAAATTCGGCCTTCAGAGGACCCAGCCTGCCGTTTTGGACACAGCTCATATTGCCTTATATGTATTAGCTCAGTGCTAGCGTGACAAACAAGCCAAATGGAGGACCTCACTGACGAGAGGAGAATGTGTAGCGCTGAGCTAATACATGTATATGGTGATAGCATCGGGGCTAAAGCTAAAGCTAACAGGCTAAGCTGAGGTTCTTCTTCCATGAAGCAGCTCTGTTGTCCTCCATCCATATTTTCAGTTCCAGGCTGAGTCATTTCTACCTTCTCCTCTCTGTCAACGCTCTCTGGTTTCATTTAAAAGAGTCGATCATCAGATATTGTCCAAGATTAACCTTCAGGGTGGATATAGCTCGCTAGCAGCCTCGCACCGATGACCTATCCACATCATCATTTACCCAGAATGCTTTGTGTGTAAATAAAATGGCCCTGTCCGTGTGATATATTTTAAAACTTTTAGTTTGAAAATGATAAAAACTTAACATCCTACAGTATTTTTACAGTCTTTATTTTACAGTTAAAATATATGTTTATTAAATAAAGTCTAATGTTACAACTAATCGGGGATCTCTTTAACACTGTATGATATAGTACAATAAATAAATGCTAGCCAAGTACTTTAGCATTTCTTTATCTAGCTAACTGTATTTTTAGTAGCTAGTCTAGCAATTTCCTTTAAAGGAGGGTGGGGATTCAAACTCATTCATGCATGTTTGAGAAATCCTTAAATCTCTTGTGTCCTGTGGTGCAAAGCTCCACCTATTTACACAAAGCTCCTCCCTGGAGCTGCCTGCAGCAGAGTGCCACTCCCCTGAAGCATTGTTGTGAAGGCATGCTGAAGTGGGAGTGTCTGAAATGGAAGGAGGTTCTTAAAGAGGCCGAGGCCAGATAGGCTATGATTCAAAGTTAAATTATTTTTGATATTTACAGCATTTTTCATAACAACTGAAGATAACATAGTTACTAGATTGTGGTTTAGAATTGAACTATGTGTCTGGAAAATACACAACCCTCCCTTTTAATAAACTATTTATCTAGCTCCACCTTAAATGGTCTGATTATGGTCCTTAAAGATGTCCAAGTTGAGGAACTTGAAGCTGAAGCAGGGTCCATGGGCTGACAACAATGTTAAACCTTCGGTTTGACAAAAGTAAAAAGATGGAGAGTTTTCCTGGTTTTGCTGTATAAAAAGAAAATAGAATAACCATCCATTATTTGTTTTTGAAATGAAAAATGAATGATCAAAAAGTACACAGACTGTTTGGGTTTCTGTCCTTGTTTCAGTTTATTTTTTCAGTCCATTGGACAATACTTATGTTTTCAATGTTGTCTGGTTTCCCTTTTTAGTCTTGTATCTAAATTGTTTATGAAGGTTTTAGTATTTGTCCCTCTACATTTGTGTCCTTAAAACGAACTCCATCCTTCTTTTTGAAAAAAAAAATCAAATGATTTTTATTTATTTATTTATTTATTTTTTGCCTACTGCAAGGGTTTAAAACTCAAGGAAGAGCATTGCTTTCACCAAATTAAAAGTGCAATGCTGTTCTGTAAAAACTTGCATGGAAGAGAAAAAAGTCAGGTCCACGCTGATCAGCCTGGAACAAAATATTAGCATACAATAATTTGAAAATGTGCTGCAGTACTTGCATCATAAAGCCGTATTATAAATGGATTTAATCTGACAGATAAATCTTTTCATTTATTAAACCTCATGCAGACTGTGAGCCCAGCCCTCTGCAAGGCAAAACTTTAATTACAGAATATATTGTGACTTAACACTGTTAACATCAGCTGAGCTTTATGAAACACATAATCTCAAAGGCAAATGTAACTGAATGTGTGGTGATAGCAGAGGCAGGAACAGTGAGCCGTTGTTATCTGCCTTTTGCATCAGCTTCACTTTGAATATCAGGAAAGCAGGGAAGGACAAGTGAGGTCCATCTGCTACTAAAACTTCAACATAATGTCCAAAAAATACAGAGATATGTGCACACTGCGCACACATGCTAACCTGTGAGTCATGCTGTAGCAAACAAATGAGTGGGAGTGAGCTCGTACACAACAAGCACAAACCTGGGGACACTGGGAGGTAAATTTTCTCTCTGTGCTGGAAAAAGCAGCCGTGTGACGAGAAAGTAATCAAAGACGCGCGGCTCTAATGAGATTGTGCCGGGTTTCAAGATGAAGCAGCGCGCCGGAACGTCGAACTTAAATGGATGAGAGCTAAATGCCAAAGTCTCTGATGCTGTACCTTTGTTCCTCCATGTTCCATCATTCCTGTTTTTTAAATAGTTTAGTTGGCTAATTGCAACGTGAATTTTGAACAAACTTTTAAAATGTTGCAACAAGAGGGGAAAATGCATATTAGGCGTGTTTTTCTTTTGAGCAGTGGCTGCTCACATGGAGGCAGTGCTTAAAAGCCTGAATTTTGCCTGAAACTCTCAGACTGAAGAAGTCTCTTGGAGGAGAGACGAAACGTTTCATTAGAGAAGAACCCGTCCAGAAGACCTATACAATTTTTTTTCTTTTCCATCTAAAGGTTTGGAGCAAATCAACCAGGCTACGCAACACGCATGGCTGCAGTAAACAGGAAGTAGAGGTTGCAAACCAGAAGGGTTTTCATGAATGTGTTGCTACTGAGCATGTTATTATTATTCTGTCATATCAGCTGGTTGTGGTGATGTTACATGCTGTTGTAGAGAAAGAAATTCAATTCTTATGGGAATAACTGGGAAGACTTACTTCAACTCTTTTTCAAAAAAAAAATCCAAAAACCGCCTCAAGCAAGCGTCAAAACTTTTGAAATTATGGAAGTGTTTTATTT